CCGGACGGTTGCAAAGCCATTACTGTAGTATAAATGGTACAAAGTAGCGTACAGAAAAACAAGTTTCGACTTCACCATCTGAGAGAATTAGCGTTACGATCTCAGCGACCCAAGAAGTTCGAAAGCGTCGAACTTAGCGAATTATAACCGATCCTAGCTTTGCCAATAGGCCTGACTCGTCGAGTGAATTATCTCCACCAATGATTCAATTAGCTCCGGTGAGTCTCACATAGCCAAATAAAATTAAACAAGTCTTTCTAGTGTTTCCTACTCCCGTGGTGGTTTGCAACTTTGTTTGCGACTTTCCGGAGATAAATACTCCGGAGCGTCCATTAGTGTTTGTTTCAGGTGTCAAGGTTTTTGTTTTATTTTTCTAGGCCTTCCTACGGACTACCCTACAGCGTCTTACTCCTCCTTTCCCCCTCGAACTATTAAATACCCCTCAGTTGTCTCGGACCGCCTTCACCCATATCACGGGGTTTAGGTTTATTCCTTTTGGTCCTTGGTGATTGTTGTGTGTCTGTGCATATCAGCGGCTCATACTCAAAGTCATCATTCCCCTCCATGTGTTAGGTTTTGGTTGTATTGGATGTAGAGCCACTGGGACAAATAGGTACAAACAGCTTGACTATGTACTGAGCCACTTTCTTTCCTTTGTTCCTTAGTCCGTTGCTCTATACTAGCCTCTGGTGTCTGTGTCTGAGTCTCTGGGCATCTTTCGTGTCCTTCTGGTCTATCCCTGCCACGTCTAATAGGTTATGAGCCCAACAAGCTCTGAGCCTCATTTTCACTGGTGCTGCAACATCCACTCTACATCTGCGCAATCCACCCCATTCCACTTGCCATCCATCCCTGGAATCATTCTCTCCCAACAATACACACCCTCACTATCAGGTGTTATGATCAAAACACTTTTCACGATCACACGTGTTTGACACACGCACACAGAACCACACAGACATTGCAACCATGCATATCTCATCTTAAAAAACCCTTTCACTATCATTTATTATTTACGCATTGCTGCCTCACCGATCATAAACTATTCTACATTAATAATGACTGGTTTCCACATTCTCTTAGATACTTATGTAAACCTTTCCATTAACGCATGTACAAGTATATTTGGACATTCTGCAATATATAAGCCGCGATAGCAAAGTGCTCAGACCTTAGCTTCGATCTGGCATTTCATTCGTGTCATTAGATCGAAGCTACCTCTCCACCTTCGCGTCGACATTGTCGATATCCCTCCATATCCCTCTCTCACTGTGGCACCTGTAACAAGGAGCCGAACACGGTACTCTCTTTGATCCTACCCATCCTACACCACCTACATTTATCCCATATCCGAACCCCTATTCTATCCCATCACACCCCACGCTCCAAGACAGATTCAAGAACGACAGCTGAAGGCTATCAGGCACTACAGACAGCACCTAACCCTTTACTACTAACCGTTTGAATCCCACGCCTGTATCCAAGGGTGGTGCATACTCACTAAGCTGGGTGAAAACCTACATGCATAGCGCGGGCTGTGGACACAGGGACTACCATATCCCCATCGGTTGCAGTGTTTGTAGGGAAGTAGTGGCACCGTAGTGACTCTTGAGAGTCAGCGAAAGTGGTGTCAGGGAGCTTAGAAAAGCGGCAATATCCTACCTTGAGTACAGAAGCTCCTGGGCTCGTGACCCTTGAGCGAAGAGGCAGATGCTGGGTACCAGATGAGAAGACCCGGGTCAGACAGCCTTGCAATCATTCCTATTCCTATCTATTAGCACCAACATCTACCCGAAATCTGCGAACTAAGTAGCAGATTTTGGTTCTTCCAACGAAGTTCCCACCACGGCCGATCACCGTTATCAGATCAACAATGAAACCCCTTGGTTCGGACCAACCCGACCATATTCACCAATTTCATATTCCACCACCCCACGTTCACCCCAGTCAGAAACCTCTGACGATATCTATCCACCCGACGTAAATCCCATAGCCATCGAAACCCTAATTGCTAGAGCAATGGCAGGCGAAGACAACCAGAAAGAAAGGAAAGGGCACGTTGCTAAGCCCGATTACTTCGACGGAAACAAGACCAAGTTCAAGGCTTGGTGGAGACAGGTACTCACGTACCTGAGAAACAATAAGAAAGATTTCGGTACAGACGATGAGAAGATCGACTTCGTCATCTTATATCTCAGAGGACCCAAGGCAGAAGTTTGGTCGCAGAACTATTACGATCAATTCTTCAATGACAGTACGGAGAAGTGGGAAAAGACGTGGGCAGTGTTCAAATCAGAGATCACCAATGCATTTCAGGATTCGAATCTTGCTGCACAGGCGCAGATCAAGATCGACCATCTGCGCCAAGGACAGAGGCCAGTTGAAGAGTATTTTCAAGAATTGGAAATACTAATGACGCAAGCTGGGTACAAGAAAGAAGATCAGTATATTCTGAAAACCGTCCGTACCAGCGTCAATGAGGCACTTGTCGACAAGGTTTACGGACAAGTCACGGTGCCGACGACATACGACAGATGGAAGGACGTACTGATCAAACTCGACAACACCTGGCGGGAGTGTCAGCAGGAGAAGGCCATGCGGGGCCTGAGAACAATACCGCCTAAGAAGGAAGGAGCGCCAGCGCCTAACGCCACAAATCAGACGCAGGCCACGCAAAGAGCACAACCGCCACAGAGACATGACGGGACGGGAACAACGTTCATGGGAACAGGACAACCCATGGACGTAGACCGGGTGTGCTTCAAATGCAAGGCCAAGCAGTCGGAGACGGGAACGTGTGGAAGCGTGTGGCACATTCCCAACAGGAAGGGAAGAACCACGAATCAGGTCAGACAGGTGGATTGGACAAAGCCGACGTCCGATCTCATCTCAGCAATCAAGGAATGGTCAAGGAAGGACCCTGAAGGATTCAAAGCAGCGGGTTTTGGCTACGGCACAGCTTGAGCACACCAAGCTCCGTGCCTCTTGATTCTCATAATAAATATTCTACGCTAGTCGTAGAAGAACCGACCCCAGACAGTATCTATATTCAGAATGTTTCCATGCAATTTTACAAAGAACTCGAGTCTCAAGTAGCACAGGATGTATTTAATGCTACAGAACCAATCAAACAGGCAGAGGAGTCTTCTTCACAGAAGCTCGGCAGGGCCTCTAAACCTGTGCTTAATTCCTCTAACAAAGACCAAAAACATTCACAAAAGGATCGAGTGCGACGATCAGAAAAACCAAAAACAGAGATTCCCATATTTTCCGAAGGACCTAAATTATTCCGGGTCGTGCGAGGATTAAAAAATGGCATGCAAATGGACCTGCCATTAACCCTCACGCAACTTGAAACTGAGAAAAGAAATGACGTGATAGTGCTCCTAGATACCGGGTGCACGGGTTCTTGTATCAATGAGAATACCATTGTAAAACTCGGGTTAGAGCAACATCATTTTGAAAATGATATACCAGTATTTAATGCAGACGGCACTCTAAATGCGGCTGGTAACATTACCGAATACATACGAGTGAAGGGTCAAATCGGAAACCATGAAGAAGTCTTGAATTTGCTAATCACAAATCTCGGCAAATCAGACGTTTTTCTTGGTTACGAATGGCTTGACTTCCACAACCCCAAAATTGACTGGCAAAAACAACTGCTGAATTTCACGCGTTGTCCACCGCGATGCACGGAAATGCGTAAAACCCAGCAAATTAACCAAGTCGAAATCGAGGAGGAAGACTCTGTATTTATGATTGACCCCAACACCTGGGTAAGACAGAAAACCCAAAATAAGAGGGAGTACGCGCGTTATTTATCAGCCAAGATGCTGCGAGCCTCCGCACTGGACATTGCTATTGAGGCCAACAAATCTAAGAAAGCAAAAACTTTCGAAGAATTGGTCCCGGAACAGTATCATCCATTCAGTGACATATTTAAAGAGGAAACATTCAATACGCTTCCAGAACATCGACCATGGGATCATGTCATCGAGCTTTTACCAGACAGTAAACCCTATTCTGGAAAAGTTTACGCAATGACGATCGATGAGCAAAAAGCGCTGGATGAATTCCTTGAAGATAACTTAAAAACCAGCAGGATCCGACCCAGCAAATCACCCTGGGGAGTGCCATTTTTCTTCGCCAAAAAAAAGGACGGAAAACTGCGACCAGTCAGTCGACGGGTGGAGTTCCCCTCACTCACACCCAGTCCCGCGCTGCTTCCGTCCACGAGTCTCTGTACAGCAGTCGTGTTTCACTTCATCCGGAGGGCCGCATGCAAGGTTGGCTTCGGCAGGATGATCAAGATAAACTCTCAGGAGCTGCAACGCTCCAGCAGCATCCAGGCTCAGCAGACTGGTCAGGTCCTCGCTTGTCACCCGAGTCGCCCCACTACATAGACTACATAAAATTGTATCTCATGTATTACCCCCTAACGTCATCACGACGGATGCTCCTTGACCATGACAATTCTATGGTGAATGTGACTGATATATGATAAGATGCGGACTATCGCAAGTTGAACGAAATGACAAAGAAAAACAAATACCCTTTACCGCTCATTTCAGACCTCATCAATAAATTAAAGAATGCCAAATACTATACAAAACTAGACATTTGCTGGGGATATAATAACATTTGTATGAAGGAAG